GGATTTTACACTTAAAAAAAACTCTAAAACCCTAACTTAGCAATATCTTGATCTTTTTGATGACCCCTTCTTGATTATTCTTGTCCCAAACACATGAAATCACTTATCATGCCCTTGATTGATCTTGAGATCCAAGATCTTGACCCAATTGAATCACAATTGACTTTTGTTGACCAGATAAAATCCTAAGATCATTTCCACTTACTGAGGCTCTTGTGATGGCTTTTGATGACACATAATCCATGTAAGGAACCCCCAAGGTGTGTGTTGAGCTTTAGAATCATGTGTTGCCATAAAACTAGCCACATATCTCCATTTGAACCAAAACCTTAGATAGCTATCCATGAGATAAGAGGTGGAGAATCAATGCTTGTATTCTTGATTCAAGTGGTTGAGTGATATGCCTTGATGATGATGGAGACCTTGTGACTTGAGATAAGAGAATGAATGTAACACTCCAAATTTAATCGGAATATTTTAATTAATTATTTAATTGAGAATATTCGTATTTTGGTGGTTTTCAGTGGTTTTGTGGATTATTGAGAAAATGTGCATTTTTAGACTATTTATTTGATTAATAGTAAATAATATTAATTTATTAGTATTATTATTAATTAAAATGAATATAAGTGAAATAAGGGTAAATTGGACATTTGAAGAAGTTAGTAAGGGTAATGAGGGAAAAGCCCAATTTGTGAGGCCCAAGACTAGGTGTGACAAAATTGAGTTCTGAAGGGAAATTAGAATCCATTTTGTGTTAACCGAGAAAGTGTGGTGGCCAGAGCTCTGAAGGAAATATTGGAGGCAGAAGGTTCTCGTAGGCAATCGTGAAAGTTGCGAATCGACTAAGGTATGGGGAGTATCGCTTTTCATGGTTTTCTATGTATTCCTTTAGATGTGTTTATGGTTTGTTGTTGATTTAAGATTTAAGGGATTTTGGGGTGATTATGAGAAATTAGAGGAATTGATTATAAGACTCTGAGGTTATGGCCAGTGGTTGGTATTTCAGACTGTTTGATGGGTAACATGAGAATTAGGAAGCCTTAGGCCTTTGTGGCCAAAAACCTTAGATTATTATGTATCCGACCATAAGAGATAAGAGTATTTTGATATTTGAAATTATGATGACTTTAGAGTAATTGTAGAGGGATTGCGAATTAGAAGGTGAATAGGTCCCCGTATTGGCCTAATAAACCGTAGGTTTTGTGCCTTTATCGCCGTATGACCTTAGAGATGATTTAGGGATGTTTTGGGGGAATTGGGTATGTGAATCGTATGAGTTTTTGGGTTTTGGGTGAAGATCAGTTCTGGTGCGTAGCAGATTTTTGCTGTCATCGCACTGTCCGCCTAGCGAGCATGCCAGCGAAGACTCGCCTAGCGAGCATGCCAGTGAAGACTCGCCTAGCGAGCATGCCAGCGAACATAGCAGAGTTTCGCTAATATTGATCGTGTGCAGCGATACCGTGATGTTTGATTGTGGGATTTCTGTGATGAGTTACTATGAGTATGACAGTGAGGTTAATGTGATTAATAGAAGATAGTATGGGAATTACCGTGAGTGTAATTTGATGAATTAATATGAGATAATGTGAGATAATATTAGGAATTAATATGTGATACTGGGTGATAACACGATGGATTAATAGGAATATGTCTACGAGCTCAATGTGAATTGTATGTGATTGTATGACGATTACCATGACGCATGAGATTGATTATGATGATGAATTATGATGATATGTTGTATGATGATTAATATGATGAATTATGATGATATGTTGTATGATGATTAATATGATGAATTATGATGATATGTTGTATGAGGATTAATATGATGTATTATGATGATATGATATTTGATGATTATTATAATGAGCCTTGATGACATGAGGTATGACGATGATTATGATGAATTATGTCATAACATGAGATTTGATGATTTATGTGTTGATGATGACTATGTTGACAAATTATGACGTTTGATGGTGATGAATATGATGAATGATGATGCACTTATGATGTTATTATGAGGATGATTTGTGACGTGCGCATCATGCATTCATGTGCATCCGGACTTCGGTTCAGGACCTCGATTACTTTGACTTCAATTCCACTGTGCGGATGTGAAGTATTTTGATGTGCTCCGGTTCTCTAGCAGAATCGATCCTATTGATGGGGATCTATGGAGGGTCGATGGCCAGTGTCCATCGCGCTGTGATGATTGGTACCACATGCATTGAGTTGTGTCGCATTGCATTTACGAGTTTTTTTGTATGAATTATGATGTTGTGGCCTTCGAGACATATGTGAAGGATATCAATGTGTTGAATATAAATATGATATCGTTATGCATTAATTGTTATACATCGATTATTATGAATTGTTTTACTCACCCTGCCTGTTTGAATGTTACCTCCATGTGGGTAACGTGCAGATGACCAAGTTTAGCCGTGGACGCCGGCGATGAGTTATTTTTGAAGTTTTAGAGTCGTTAGCCTTTATGGTTAACTTAGAGGGTCTTGCTCTGATATGTAACATCGGGTTGGGTTTCTTGAGTTGATTTTATACTGTTAAACTTATTTGACTTATTTTCCCTTTTTGAGGAAACCTTGATTTATGCTTTGGGTTCCGCTGTTTACGATGTTTTGATGTATTTTGGGGAAAACCCGTAGTTACGGAGTAAGGACCTATTTTGATGACTTTGAGAAATGTACGCCCTTTTAGTGGCTTTTTAATGAGATTTATTTATTCACTCTGATTTCTGTGTTATTTTACCTTAATATTTTTGGGGTAGAAAAATGGTATTACAATGAATAAAGAAGAAAGAAGGAGAATATGATTTTGGGCAAATTGTTTTCTATTCACTTACTTAATTAGGGTACAAACAACCAGTGAATAACACAATTGACCTCTCTCAACAACCTGAGAGATCTAACCTATTTATAGACTAGCCAACTAACTTACACAACAAGCTAACTAAATAATTTGATCCATAACACAAGGCCTAATTCGACATTAAAATTCGACATTACATACTAGAACTAACTTCAACTACAACATATAACACTTCGACATCAACATGTGAACCAACTTCGAGTTCATGCTTGTCTCCTAGTCGACAACACTAGAGCTCGATCCAATATCTCACACACATTTATGCAAACGGGGTGCTTTAAGCTTTTTCAGAATAGCAAAAATGCCTTAAATCCGTAAGCACAATGAGCTAAGAGTATGCGTAAGCTGTATCGACATCGCAGAAGTGCATCAAATTTATATCAGAAACACATTTATGTATGTTGTCTTTGTTCTCCTATTCTAACTTTCCAGCACAAAGAGACAAAGTAGTAATAGAGGAAGATATATATATATATATATATATATATATATATATATATATATATATATATATATATATATATATATATATATATATATATATATATATATATATATATATATATATATATATATATATATATAAAAACAACTAAATAACTAATATTAATTGAGATTAATTGTTATGCATTTAAAAAGTTTTATACTACTAATGCATCATAATCATTCGTTGATATTATTTTTTAAGTGATTAAAATAAAAGTCAAATATTTTACTTAAATTAACAGTTGTAATTAACTGACAATATACAAAATATTTACACTGTAAGTGTATATCAATTAAATTGTTGCGATTTATTGATGATAAAAATAAATCTCAAGACAAGCTTTACGTCACTCCACTATTTGATGTTCAAATAAACATGAAATAAATCATTTTTGTGACTAGGCGAAAATTAATACGAATTAACTTATTTTATATTATGTCATAAAAATAAACATGTAATTGATTTTGTTAATATGTGAAAAGAAATAAATGAATTTAGCTTGAATTGAACAAAGTGTTTAAAACGAACGGCCCCGATCCGATCCAACGAGGGTTTACCCACATAAAAAGAAGGGAATAAAAAACAATTAGAATGACGAAATTGCCCTTACACCTCTGCAACAAATATTCTCGTTCTTCCATCATTCATTTCCTTCTTCATCGTCATCGTCTTCATCTGATACACGCGACCTCGTTCTTCTTTCTTCGTAAGCTTCTCTCTCTTCTAACCCCAGCTGTAGGTTTTTCTATTGTTTTTATCTTTTTAATTTTCGCCTAATATTCATTTTTCTTTCTCCATTTCGAATTCGTTTTTCCTCAATCATTAACCTCTCGCAACGCCGATACCTAGCTCATTCGTTTTTAAATGTTGAATCAATTTTTCAATTTCTTTTGATTGTTTGAGCTACCTTAGGGTATGTTAATTAATTAATCCGCGTTTTTTAAAGATTTTGATTCTATTAGGTTTTCGTCTAATTTAAATATAACGGTTTATTCATGATGATGATGATAATGATTGTTTGCGTTTTAATTTGAATTCACAAACTGTGTTATGATTGGGAGGTAAACTGTGTTTTTGTTTGATTCTGTCACCTGATTTCAGATCCAGAATGAATTTGGAGTTTGTTTAATCTATTAGGGCCTGTTATAGCACAAGTGCTTATCAAAATAAGCTCGCATAAGCTATTTTTATAACAAAAGATAAAAAAAAATTTAAATTGTTGTTATATATGTTATAAGATGTTTTCATTAGCTATTTTGAAGAATTTATGAAAGTAAGTTGAAATAAATTTACGAAGAATGTCATAAACTGTTTTGATTAAGTCTCCCAAACAGTGTCACAAAATTTATGGCAGAAGATAAGCTCATCCAAACAGGCCCTTATTCAAACGTCTTGTGAACGTTTCTGTTTATGGTTATTTAGTTAAGGATAGATTTTTGAACCATGCTGCCAAGTACATTTTGAAACTATGAAAAAGGTTAAACTTTTAAAATTAAAAGTATAACTTGGATTTGGTTCTTTTTTATTTTATTTTAATGTTTCAATTGCTGAACTTGAGTTGAATATGAACACTAGAATAGAACGACAGTCTTATGTTATTGATGTTTTATAATTTTAGATGGAAGTTCAACAACATGAAGCACTTTCTGAAAACAATGAGGCGAAACCTGATGAGCTTTCTTGTAAGAAAAGTAATACCATGCAAATTTATAGACAAGATGTTGTGAAGAATAAAAGTAGTGGGATAATTGGGATTGTGACGGAAGTTAATGGTGATTCAGATTCAGATTCGGATTCAGATAGCGGAGTCACTGACGATGAGGATGATAGTGAGGATGAGGATGGTGATGTTGAGGAGGGTGATGAAAGTAATAATGGTCGCAGAAGTTCTGATAGGAATGATGCTTCTGTGCATGGTAAAACTGCCGCGCTTCAGGCTAACGAGATACGTGTACTCTGGAAGGATGAATCTGAGTCCACTCAGAATTTCAGTGAGGTAGAAGTTATTGATCGTGGGTTTTTACATGGTGATTTTGTAGCTGCTGCCTCTGATCCTACTGGGCAAGTGGGTGTTGTGGTTGATGTCAATATATCTGTGGATTTGTTGGCCCATGATGGATCTGTAGTAAAAGAGGTCTCATCAAAAGACTTAAAGCGTATTAGAGATTTCACCGTTGGTGATTATGTGGTGCTCGGGCCTTGGTTAGGAAGAATTGATGATGTTTTGGATAATGTGACTGTCTTATTTGATGACGGCTCAGTTTGTAAAGTCTCCAAAGCAGATCCAATGAATCTTAAACCCATTTCAAAGAATATTCTTGAAGATGGGCATTTCCCTTACTACCCCGGGCAACGTGTAAGGGCCAAGTCTTCATCAATCTTCAAGATGGCTAGATGGCTGTCTGGCTTGTGGAAAGCAAACAGGTTAGAAGGCACTGTCACCAATGTTACAGTTGGATCAGTGTTTGTTTATTGGATAGCATCTGCAGGTTACGGGCCATTTTCTTCTACTGCCCCAGCTGAGGAGCAGAGTCCAAAAAACTTAAAATTGTTGTCTTGTTTTGCTCATGCAAATTGGCAATTGGGTGACTGGTGTCTATTACCCTCATCTGTGCTGTCATCCTCTGCTTCCGTATACAAAAGCAAATCAAAATCGGAACATAATGTCTCTGTTAACATTGAATTAGATTCTAATCAAACAGAAAGCGGGTGTGATTCAGAAGAAGCTACAGTTGAGGAATCACATGGGAATAAGGATGCTATGGACCTTGACTCAGCAGGTGCTTTGATAGGGAATGGTGGAGATGATAGAAATAATCCTTCACACGAATCTAGCTCATGCGGTAGTTCTATCTCAGTATCAAAGGACCCTGTCCATGAAGCTTGGCCTCTTCATCGCAAGAAAATAAGGAAAGTTGTCATCAGGAAAGATAAAAGAGCCCGGAAGAAAGAGGAAAGCTTTGAAAAAGCCCTTATGATTGCCAACACTAGGACAAGAGTTGATGTTTCTTGGCAGGATGGAACGATAGAGCGTGAACTAGATTCTACAAGTTTAATTCCTATTGAAAATCCGGGTGATCATGAATTTGTTTCAGAACAATATGTTGTAGAGAAAACCTCTGATGTTGGTGAGGATAATTGTGAAACTAGTCGAGTTGGGGTGGTTAGGAGTCTTAATGCCAAGGAGCGGACGGCTTGTGTGAGGTGGATAAAACCAGCTGCCAAGGTAGATGATCCCCGAGAATTTGACAAAGAGGAAATTGTAAGTGTATATGAGCTAGAGGGCCATCCAGATTATGATTACTGCTATGGGGATGTGGTTGTTAGACTATCACCTGTGTCTGTCGGTGTAGAAGCTTCTGTTGGAGCGTCAACTGAGAAATCAAAGCTGGAGAATGAGAAGAGTGGAATTATAAAGGTAGTGTCAACCCAGTCAACCCGAACAGGAACTTTATCTGGCGAAACTGATGTGGAGTTCTCAGACCTCTCTTGGGTTGGAAATATAACTGGCCTTAAGAGTGGTGATATTGAAGTTACTTGGGCTGATGGGATGATATCGACGGTATGCTCATTTCATATATTAACTTTCTCATTGTTATCTGTAATTTCTTCCCATTCTTGACAAAAGATAAATGCTGCACGTTTACTAATATTCAGTTTTTTACACATATCATTAATACAAGACTCGTAATCTGAATGCGTTGTTTCTGTCAGGGGAAATGTAGTTTTTAAAATTGGTTTAATTAGAATCAGGATGTTCATTTTCTCAGTGATTAGGATATTCTACTAAGTGCCTTAGTGTTGCAAGTACATTATGCATAATACTTGCAATCAGTGAAGGCATCTTTCAGTTTATGTGAAGAGTGATTCAGGAAGACCTTGGTAAAATGCTGGCAATTGGAATAGGAATAGGATTTTGTGTTGGGCTGGTAAAATCTGGTCCAGCTTTTAGAGTTCCAATCAATAATGATTATATCTGAAAGTTGTCAAAACTTATTGCAGAAGTTTGAACTTGTATTACTTGGGAAAAGGAGGGAAAGATGAATCTGTGTACTTTAGTTTTTAGCAACCTAAAGGTTAAGAGTGGTGGAGGGTTGAGTTAGGCCTAAACCCCGATTTCTAAGAGAATATTTGATCCTTATGGTAGTCATTTATTTGGCAGTGGAGTATGAAAATATTTAGTCAAGGAACACTTGTTGACTGTGCCATAATATAAAATCAAAGTGGAGTTCTATCATTGTTTGGCAGTCATTTATTTTGAGTGTGTGATCTTTTTCTAAATGTTTTCTGGAAGGTTTTATATCACCTACATTGTAATTGGTATTTTGTGTTCATTTTAATATCTTTTAGGCTTATATCATGTAATAGAAAAGCAGTGACTATTAGAAATAAACAAAGCATATTCTTTTTTCTTCCAAAGTTGCTAAAATTCCTTTGCTAGCATGTTGAACAGTCTTTTGGTGCTAAAATAGATGGATTCTAGTTTATGGGTCTTTCTCATTCACAGCCTTAAATGAGATTTGATTTAGATTCATAATCAAAACGTTTTCGTATGCATAATCTAAGAGGCAATATTAGATATTAAGGTTAGTATACAACATTTCCATTTTCATCGTCTATAATTCACATCACTTCCAGGTTGGGCCTCAAGCAATTTATGTGGTTGGTAGAGATGATGATGATGAGTCAATTGCTGCAGGGAGTGACATAAGTGATGCTGCAAGTTGGGAAACCGTCAATGATGATGAAATGGAAGTCCTAGAGGAATCAAGAGAGGTTTGTTTCCTTTTCCAACTATAATGTGGTTATTAGTAGGTTTTGAACTTTTTTTCCTAAGAAACCTAAAGGAAAATCTATCTCCTAGTACTGTTATTAGGAGTCCTATAAAAAAGCAGCACCTACCGGCTAGATTTGACTGTTTTACAGCTTGCTAGGTAAACCTAATATTTGATGAATGAAGTGGTTATGAAACTTATCATAATATAAATAAATGGCGTTTTACCCTCATTTCAGAAGGTCTGAGTCAGTTTCTCCCTTCAATAAATGCATTTGTTTTATGGTAGACTTATCATGGGCCAGCTAGAGATGTTAATAGTTATTATTAGTCTATAGTTATGCAAGATTTGATGCAGGATGTAAATAGGGAAAATTCAAGCAACGTCACTTCTGAAGCAGATGAGAATGGGGAGAGAGACTTGAGTAGGACTGCAGCACTTTCTGTCCCGCTGGCAGCAATTCGATTTGTCACTAGACTTGCCTCTGGAATATTCTCCAGGGGACAAAGGAGCTTAAATCATGTTCACACGCCGCCAAATCGTGAAATTGAATGTCTGTCACCTGTTAATGTTTGTGAGACCAGCTCTCATGGATGTATTGCCATTGAAGGTGGTGACAATTCAGGCAGAAAGAGTTTTAAAATTGAGGAGTCTGTTATTCCAAGAGGATCTGAAAATGTGGAAGCATCTGAGACACTGTGCAGCTTGAAGAATGAAGATGCTCCTGCAAGTTGTGACGATGATGCTTGCAGTTTGAAACATTTTGACATGGTTACAGATCCGTTAGACCACTATTATATTGGTGCAAATGGACAGGTACGACTGCTTCTGCCTTATTTCTAATCATAAGTGAAGTAAGGAAATGAAATAATGAATAGGTAGTTGCATGTTTATTTTATGCTTCATCTTCCTTTGGTGAATATTAACCAAGACACAATGATCCTTTTAGGTTAGTATTATTATTGACAAACGATCCTACTTTTAGGTTAGTAGTATTATTATACGTTAGGTTCTTATTTTTATATTTAGCTAAATCAAATATTAAGACTGTTGAATATTGATCATCTTGGTGCATCAAATATGTGAGTATGCACACATACATTAAAATGCTTCATTCTTTGTAATATAATTTCCTTTATTATATCGTACCGAGGTCGCTAAGTGACTTTTATGTCACTTTCAGAGGAACAACCGAAAATGGTATAAGAAGGTGCAGCAAGATTGGGGAATACTACAAAATAACCTTCCTGGTCAGTGAACTATGAATATAGATTTATTCATACCATCTAAGTTTTGTATTGTGCGGCACTTGGCTGTTTATACACCCTTTTTAATAAATGTAAACAATTTGAACATTTTGACAGAGGAAATTTTTGTACGGGTTTATGAAGATAGAATGGATCTTTTGAGGGCAGTAATTGTAGGGCCATTTGGGACCCCTTACCAAGATGGACTGTTTTTCTTTGATTTTCACCTTCCGCCAGAATATCCTGATGTTCCACCGGTAAGACATTATCTTAAAGCTACAATTATGTGCAATTTATTTTGTCCCTGCCATAAAAAGGAAGATGTTTAATTATTAAATGCAAAGAATGTACTACCTTGTATAAATTTAATCCGTCTGAATGTATCTCATGTCTTTCTGTGTTTTTTGTATGGGCCTCAAATGATGCAGTCGGCTTACTATCATTCAGGTGGTTGGCGGATTAACCCTAATTTGTACGAGGAGGGGAAGGTTTGCCTTAGCCTTCTCAATACATGGACAGGCAGAGGAAATGAAGTATGGGATCCAAAATCTTCTAGCATCCTTCAAGTTCTAGTTTCACTACAAGGGCTAGTACTCAACTCGAAGCCTTACTTCAATGAAGCTGGATACGATAAGCAAACTGGGACAGCCGAAGGAGAGAAGAATTCATTGTCATACAATGAGAATACGTTTTTACTGAACTGCAAGACCATGATGTATCTTATAAGGAAGCCTCCCAAGGTGATTATGAATAATGTTTAGATGTTTTACTTGATCCTTCCATTTGTTGAGATTTATGTTGTTTTTTTCAGTTGTGCTAAGTATATTTGACTGTTATCTTCCTGATGAATTCTTTAGGATTTTGAAGTACTTATTAAAGAACATTTTAAGAGGCGTGGTCATTACATACTCAAAGCTTGTGATGCATACATGAAAGGTTACTTGATTGGTTCGTTGAACAGAGATGCTTCAGTGAGTAATAATAGCAGTCCGAATTCAACCTCGGTTGGTTTCAAGCTGATGTTAGCCAAGATAGTGCCGAAACTTTACTTGTCACTTAGTGAGGTTGGGGCTGATTGCGAGGAATTTAAGCACTTGAAAGAGTTGTAACAAAGTAAATACATCAATTCCTTAAAAATTTGAAAGAGTTGCATCTTTTGTGTTCTATTTCTACTGTTAAAAACTTTTTTTTTTTTGTTTGAAAGACCAATTCAATTCTGGGAGCTTGAAGGAATAGAATTGATGGCAAAAGCATGAGAGAAGCAACCACTAACAGAGCAGGCAGGATATCCCCTTTGAGGGGAGGCAATGTTTGTTTACTAACTTTTACGTTGTGAACTTAATTATCAAATATTAGAAAGAGGGTTGGCAAGGGTTGGATTTGGTGTTGGTATGTAAAACCATTTGTTAGTGGTCTTGCACTGGTTTATTAACTTGTGTGTGAGGATTTGATGATGAATTGAATATAATTGAAGAATAGCCAATTTTGTTTTTCTTCCTTTCACTTTTTATTTGTCCACAATAATGGATTCTACACCCACAAGCTTCATTTTGGCGCCTTCACGCATTTACTTTCAAATTTCAACGATAGAGAGTCCTTGTAAGGCTTGTGTAAGATTCAATCAAATTTTGAGAATTTTTTTTATGGTATTCTAGATGTTTCTAATGCATCATGTGAATTTTCGCAAATGTCTATTGTTTTTGGAGTTGTATTTCAATACAAATGTCTATTGACATTCATAACATAAAATGAGTATTACAATGATGATTTCAACATAAAATTTAATATTACGTTTTAATATTCTAGTGGACGTTTGCACATCTTCAGAATATCTTTGACCGATCTTTGTAGCGTCGAAATACGTATTCCACATAGTCCTACCATTCGCCCGCGCCTTGAGCTTAAATTTGCTGAACTCAATGTTCCATTCATTGTTAATTGAAGGTAAACGGTACTCGAGTTTTACAGTCTTCCGATTGTCGTTGAAAGATATGAGATGATGAATTTTGTCTTTGATATCTTCAAGGGAGGTGAAGTCGGTGAGTTTGAACGTTCGTCAAGTGTAGAAGCGGAGAAGGAGACATTTGCGACATACCAATAGATGTTTATTTGTGACATTTGAGATATTTTGAGTTTGTGTAAAATATAACATTAGAGGACCTGAATTTATAGAAGGCATATATCAATTTGGACCACACATTAACTGACAAATTGATTTCGAAGATATATCTCCGAAAGCGCACCCTACTATCTTAATCCGAAGCATCTCTGGAAATTCTCTTGAATCAGTATCACACCACAACATTATAACATAACATTTTTTTTCATTGACAATAACACGCATGTTGTTATGAGGTAGATAAAAAATGGATAAAGAAAAAATATGAACAAAAGGTGAATATATAACACTTCATTTATATTGAGATACAATTACATCCAATTATTAGTCCGATTAAACAAGAAATTAAAACAAATTGAAATATGTGTTGCTGGTAGGGCTGGCAATGAACCAAACCAACTCGAAGATAGTTCGGAATTCGACTCGACAATTAAATCGTTGAACTAGGTTCATGAACCAAATGAGTTGAGTATGAGCGAAAAATTAAGTTCGTTAACTAAATGAGCTGAACTTGAACTATACATAGTTCGACTCGTTAGGTTCATGAGTCAACTCGATTACATATGAAAAGAATTATACTGTCTTTAAGATTAGGTTTAAATATTTACTTCAAATCTTAGACAAATTTAATCTTCAATTTAGTAGTTTTTGAATTAGACTCTCAAATGTATCTCTTGAAAGTTGTGTAGGTTTTGAATTAGTAGATTTCGAAGATAAAGTTAAATTTCAATATGATAACTTTTATTTTATTTTAATATTTTATTTAAAAAATATATATTTATTTAAAGTGTCAAATATACTAAAAAAATATATATTTTAAAAAATAATTTTTAAGTTCGTGAACCATGTGAGCTGAACCTAATGAGATGGACCTAACGAGTCGAACCGAACTGTTCGTGAACTTATAACGAGTCGAGTTTGAGCTTAAAAAAAAGTTCGTGTCGAACTCGAACTCGAATTCGAACAATTCTTAACGAGTCGAGCCGAGCTGAGGTGAGTTCGACTCGACTCGACTCATTTCCAGCCCTAGTTGCTGGCTAAATCTATAGGTAGTACCCCTTTGGACTTTTGTGTATTTGATTATTTTTCAGTGTTGTTCAATCTCTCAAATTCTTGTATCTTTTCTATAAAATGATTTGGCCAAGTCTTGGCTTTTGTGGTTGAATGAGCCGTCCACTCCGGTGACGTAAGTGGTATAGAGCATTTCGGTTTCAAGTAAATTTGAACAAAATAATTTGATTTTGAAATCCACCAAATACACATGATTCAATCATTTGGATTTTAGAGTGGTGCAATGCGTAGTGAAAAAAAGGTTTCCGAAAAACCGTAGCATGTCAGGTCAACATACACTCTATCATGCGCATATGCTATTATGTGACACATATAAGGAAAACACATCCATTTTGCCTTTGGTGTCAGACCACTCAAGAAAGGAACAAGAGAATCATAAACCGCGTCGAAATTTTCTTTCTTTTCGTACAACCGCATGTATGATTCTTTACGCGTCTTCAACTCTTGGATAAGTTGATGTCAAATGTATAACTATCTTCTCCTTTACCGAGTAAAACTGAAACGGGTCGATAACCGCAATTACCGCCCCCTACAACACTGACAATCTGCTCGATATATGTGCATAAAAATCGGCATCTCGTCGATGAATGAAATCTTTGGTGAAAGCGGCGTTACAGACGGTTTGCTAATGCGAGCTTCTTTCACAACACTTTTTTGAGATTTTGGAGTTTGTGAGTCGGAATTTTTTTTGTCTACGTGATCAAAATATGAAGGAGATTGTGTAGTCGAGTTGTCATTCGAAGTAGGCTTCATTTTCTTTGGAGCACCTATTTTTTACCGGTTGAGAGGGTGGTTTCATATCAGTGGTTTACGGATAGGCAATCTTCCTCAATTATTCTTTGATGTGGAGTTTCATGTTATCATTAACGTTCAAAAATCTCTCTTGTATCACTTTCTATTTGGTGAAAATAGAGATATTCGATTTACCGTCATCCATACATCCATCATCATCAAACCCAAGTCTCTTCTAATGAGTGTAAACCTCGTCCATTCTTATTGGTTCACCAAGTTTCATCTTTTAGAAATAACACAAGAACATGGGAGACCATATGTTATCACAATTGTGCATCCACACTTTGCGCTATCGGAGCCTACATTATCATCTCTTTTAGTCTCGTGAAAAATATAGTTCAAATCCGCTCGAGAAATGTTACCAACCAACTGAGAATATAGAGGGCTATCTTTAAATATGTGCTCCAAATCTGTGATTCTATGACCAAATGTTGTTTGTATCTCACTATGTTGATTTTGAACTATGTGGTTCACGAAATCCCAGTCTCTACACAAATCCCCCATACTATTTCCCAACCAATTTTTCAAAGTAGCATGGGTCGACTCAACTCTGTTAGTTGTTGTATTTCCAAGGTGTCTAACATTATCAGTCCACACACATAATATCTTCTCCTTCACCTAGTCAATAATAATGCTTTCAACATATTTTAACAAATTCGGATACTTTTCACATATTTTCCTGAAATGCATAATGGAATCGACATATATTTTCAAGTAAAGTTGTTCTTTTTTTCACACAAGAAATGCAAAACCAACATAATATGTCTTCTCAGTTGAGGTAACACCAACCATCTCAAATAATAGAATTTTATACTTATTTATCTTGTAGGTTGAATCAAGTATGAGCACCATAGGAAACACGTTGAACAACTTTATGGAATTAGAATGAGTCTAAAAAACATCTCTAACCGTAACTCCATCATCACACGTTTGGTACTTGGATACGTAACTGTTGTTATCCAACATTTTCAAGAGTTGTTGCATCTCAGTTCTATCCCCCATAAGCGTCTTGTTAGTTAGGTACCAAATATTATACACTTGCTTGATATTTGATATATTGTCGGGTCATTTCCGTTTCAATGTTGCAAGTATATTTTTTTGGTTGAATAAAATTCAAGGTAATGTCAGCAATACATTCCTTCTCTTCCAGATTGAGCCGATAGACAATAGGATGACCAACTAATTTTAAACACAAATCATGGTTATGCAACCCACATATCACATTAAATCTCCAATTTTTGTTTGTTAACATGTAACCACAATCCTTAAACAGATAGTCACATTTTCTTGTACCGGTGTCGTCGCTTTTAAAATTCCAGAGAGGAGTTTGATATTTCCCGCTTCTTTCGTACGTCATTGTCACAAAGGCGCATCTTCTATCTGAACCATTATCGGAACTTTCTATAACCACACCAAATCCAAGTTTAGAGGCTTCTATACGAATCCATTAAAGTATTTGATCACGAGATTCAAACTCTTGTTTGTTTTTAAAGTTGTTGCCAACATCTACCGCCTTCACAATAACACCTTAAAAATTCAGAGAAACAACTTATTTTGGGAAAACATCAGGGTGCACCATATCTAATGAAAATAATTAAAACAATAACAGAACATAAGGCCAACTACTGCTGCAAAATAACTTCAAAAATGAACACAAACAACTTCCAGAAATGCATCTCTGGACAACTTCATACACGTTCCGGAGACACATTTACTGATACAATATAACTTTTTTCGGGAAAAATGGATGATTAATGTGAGCAATGCAGAGGAAAAAGAAGAATCTTTTCCTGAAATTCTATCTTCTTTTGCTCTCTATGCTATGTTGAACAAAAAGGATGGAGATTTAGAGTGAAAAAATGGATTGATAATGAAGGGTTTGGTTGGAAACCAAGTATGTCAAGAATGGATGAGTGATCATGCAACTAGATTCTATATCAGATATTTCCGAAGATGCATCTACGCAAATATCAAACATGCAAAGGTGACAGAAAATTTCAAAATGCCACCCATAATTCTGGAGATGCATCTCCATAATACATACTAAACTGAACAATTAAAGTTTTTCTTAAAATGTTCTAGAGATGCATCTCCGAAATACTCACTGAATTGAAAATTTTAAGTTTT